AAACATCCCACTAACGAGATTTTATCCCCATTTCAGAAGTCGTATAAACGCTGCTGCATCCAGGCCAGCATAACGCATAAGATCATCGTCGCTTGTCAACACAGCATCGCGTATCCACGACCATTTACCAGTTTTCTATCCGAAAGTGGACACTTAACTCAGGGATATTATCACGACAATTATAAAGCTTTGGAGCTTTATGTTTAACCAGACAATAGGCTAGGACCATACCAGCGAAGATACCTATATAAATGCCAAAGGAAATGAGCACGGCCATCGAAGTCGTGGTCTTGCTGCTCTCGGACGATGATGATGACATTATTACGTGATAATATTACACAAGAGTCACCACTACCAATTCATGTTCTCGACAATCTACGGACTACAGCGAACCAAACCAAACTGAAATCGATTCGGGGATAAATTCCTATTCCCGCAGTTGCGCTGTTCCAGAGTGGCCTCAGACTTCCATAACAAGATCACTTAACAACCTGTATAATACCCGTTGGGGAAAATACCAAAACATACAGGCAGCCAGCAGCACGGGAAGGGGACAGGAGCACACAACGCTACTGCAGCTACCTCAACAACCACGACAACCCAAAACCAACATGTTCTTCGATTGAGACACGCTTTGAAAATATTCCTGACTAATGACTTCCATCAGACATTACTCAGACTTGTCTTTCTTGGATGCACCAAAGACCTGGACGCAGTACTTACACAGGGGAGTACCAGTAAGCAGAACCTGAGAAAATGCAAGGGGGAACAAGATTGCAAGATAAACATAAGTAACAACAGCTACACGTACCACAATAGACATTATTCCGAGGGTGAGATGCAGGCCCACGGTGGCCATGCATGTGGGTGAGGCTTTACCACACAAGTCTGCATTGGGCATCCCAGGAATCTCCAATGCGCGACGAGAAACGTATCTTAGCACATCATGAAGAGCATGGTCAACCTCAAGATATTTGCACAATCTGCTACAACCATCTAGTCAATGAAGTCTATTAACAACATTGAGGTTTACTCCGTCTCACCCCACTTGAGCTCACACAACTAAGTCAACGAATGACTTAAAGAGTACCCCCGCTTGCCCCATGCACATTGAACCAATTCTATAATCGATTCTATCATCGTATAATACGTGTAAGAGGCGATTCCGGGATGGATTATAAGTTTCAGAATCTGTTTATTAAACGACCACCCCTGGGTGTCGAACCCGAGACCTACTCGGCACCAATCATCGCGATTAGCATCCACATCGCCCCCACAATCGGCTGGAAGAAGATACTCATCACACTAGCGATGTGCGCGAAGCCCATAACCTTCATAAGCTGCGGCGCGGTAGCGATCCCACACATCTTCATGGCGTTCTGAAGCAGAAGAAGCAGCAGGTAATAATTTCGTGGCGCGCGACAACTGTTCATGACCCCTCTACCTTCATGAACTCAGTCTTGGCGAAGTGACCATAGACCGCTGGAAGGTACGCCTGCAGATCCGATGGAGCCACGTTATACACACAGGCAAGGTTCGCGACGCCTGCCCCTGGAAAAAAACCACAATAATTTCGAGCGATCTCACAGATCAGATAACAGATAGAATGAACCCGTTAGTAGTGTTACTACCAAGGAAAGCTAACATGACGCCAAAGTAACAGCCAACAGTCACTATCTGCAGCATGGACTTCATCATCATCGTGATAATGCCGGAAGAGGGACAAGAAATCACACACACCTATTGACAAGACACTACCCCATATGCTAAGCTACTCTAGTGAGAGTATCTTCAAGT